GCAGATCAATCTGAATTTAATTCATAAATATCAGCCATTATGACAAAATACAAACTGCTTTCACAACACGACATCAATTTCAAAAGCCATAAGGAAATTTGAGTTACAATTACCTAAATTCATCACTGCATATCCATGAAAGAAAAATAAGAAACAAAACGGAATCATGTGAACATACCAACAACAAAACAATGCTAGGATGAAGATATATACCACTTTGTTGGTGATCTGCTGTTGCACAATCACAATCAAGCCATAAGAGTTTTTAGTGCACTGACCCAACCCTTAAAGATCATCAAATGGACCTGAAAAAGAAGAAAATGAAAGAGCTGAGGTTGGTAGCCATTTGAATCAAAATGTGAATGCAAAAGAAAGAAATTAGTTAGAAAAACGCACCAAGCTAGGGAACAATGCAAATGTCTGGGATGTGAGCAATCTTGGACCAGTCCTCACCTGTTTCTTTCTGGCATCTTTGCTTTAAGATAGGGCAATCTACAATTGTCAACCTTTTTAATGAGGCGAGGCAACGAAGCCCTTCCGGTAGTGACGCCAATTTCGGGCAATTCAATATCGAAAGGAACTGAAGTGATTTGAGGTTTCCAATCCCTTCTTCTAGCACATATTCTATATCCTCAACGGCTGTAATGTACAGAAACTTTAATTTGGAGGAGGGAACAAAGGAGGAGGGAAGGACCTTCCAGCTGCTGTTTTCTAACTCCAGGCTATGAAGATTTGGGTACAGCGGCATGGAAGTTAGGTTAGGACAATCACATATTTCTAAAGTAGAAAGACAAGGAAATGAAGAAGCTGAAGCTGAAGCTGTTTCATTCCTCCACCATCCCTTGAGATTAGGGCATTCAAATAGATAAAGACTCTCTAAGGAGGGAAAGAAGGTCGTCGATGGAGAAGCAGCTGACATCATCATCATCTCATCACCGGCAAAGTCCTTAACCTTGTCTTTTGCTGATATGTGCTCCAAATTCCTTAACTCGGAAAGAGTAAGACTCTTAAGAAAAGGTAAATGATCCAACGGTGGAAGATGTTGGCATCTATCACAGTCATACAATCCGAGATTAACAATATTTGTGAGAGAATGAAACCAACTCGCAAACCTCGCACCCGGGTATCCCTCAAGGACTAACTCTTTTAGACTTGAATGGGGCTGCAGCGCTTCCATTGACTTAATAATTACATCACTCTCCTCCTCAACCGCATCACTATTTTCTCTTTCGATGCCCATCCAATGTAAAGTCAACGAATAGAGATGTCGTTTCTCCTTCAAAACTGCACCATCATAATTCAATTCTGACACCATATCTTTCTTGTACCCCAAATTTATGATCTCCAACTTTCCTCTTAAATCTTTCAGCTTCCCCAACTCACTGAGCCCTGCACTGTCCTTGGACATGGAACTATTTTCGCTCAAAACAAATTTACTCAAAGTACGAAGACAAGTCAATTCACCCAATCCACGAGGAATCCGAGCCAAGTTATCACAATATTGCAAAATCAGATGCCTCAAGTTTTTCATTTTCTTGATATCTCTAGGCAATTCCACAAGAGACTGACACCATTTGAGATCTAGTGTTTCCAAATTTTGAAGTTCGACTATCCAATTTGGAAGTCTCTCAATGGGATTAAAACTAAGATCAAGATATCTTAAATGTTTCATTTTCCTAAGACATTTTGGCAATTTTGTAATTCCCAATCCATTCAAACTCAACATACGCAATGACTTAAAATTTGAAGCAATTGTAGCACAAAATGACTTATGGAATGACTTCTCCAACCCCCACCCTTGTCTTAGGAAAAGAAAAGTCCTTAGCTTATTTGATTCCAGCAAGGATGTCGGTATTTTCCATTCCGACGAATCAACATCAAAATCGAAAGATACATGAAGAAGACGTTTTGCATCAAAATCAGTCTTATTGCGATCTATTATTGTGCTTCCCTCCCCTGCCACTTTAACAGCAAGTTCATTCATGAGATCATGCATTTTACAGCTTTTTATTATACCAAACTCATCTTTTTCTTCTTCTTGGAAAAAAGATCTCCAAACTAGTTCGTTATAATATTCATAACCAACATCTTCCAAGCACTCATTAGGATTTGAAGACTTAACGAACCCTTGTGCCACCCACAGCTTAATTAAATTCTCTACGGGAATCTCATAATCAGGCGGGAACAAACTACAATAAGCAAAACAATGTTTCAAATGTGATGGGAGAACATCATAACTCAGCTGAAGTGTTGGTAAAATATCATCTTCTTCTTGCCTTATTGTTGAAAGCTTGTTATTCTTGAATTTCAACCATTTAGTTTCTTGATGTTCGGAGTACAACATCCGTCCTATGGTCCTTATAGCAAGCGGAACCCCCTTACATTTTCTAGCAATCTCCTCCCCAAGGGCTTTAATGGTTGAACTCGTTGGCTCTTTTCCATCTTGGAATGCCATTTTCTTGAACAAATACCAAGACTGCTCTTCACTTAAACCGCTTAAGTTATATGGTTTAGATGTGTCTGTTATTTTTGCAACTTTTTCACTGCGAGTAGTTATTAGTATTTTACTACCTCTTGCACCACCCATCAACAAGTCTTTCAAGCTAAGCCATTTTCCACGATTTTCATTCCACACATCGTCTAACACAAGGAGGTATCTCTTCCCATCGATCTTCTTCCTAAGCTCATTTTGCAACAGATCAATGTCAAGGTTATCCGCTTTTAGGATATTCTTAACAAGTGCATCCAACTGAAATGAATTAGAGACACACGTCCACATTTTCAGCTCAAAATGGTTTTGAACCTCCTCATCTTTGAAGCCTTAAGTTATATGGTTCAGCTGTATCTGCTATATTTGCAACTTTTTTACTACGAGTAGTTATTAGTATTTTACTACCTCTTGCACCACCCATCAACAAGTCTTTCAAGTCGTCCCATTTTCCATGATCTTCATTCCACACATCGTCTAACACAAGGAGGTATTTCTTTCCATCTATCTTTCCCCTAAGATTCCTTTGCAATTGATCCATCCTGAGGTTTTTTGGTTCCTCATTAGTTGCAGATTGAATGATTTTCTCAGCAAGTACATTCAATTCAAACACATTGGAGACACATGTCCACATTTTCAGCTCAAAATGATTTTGAACCACCTCATCGTTGAAAACTAGTTGGGCAAGTGCAGTTTTTCCCAATCCTCCAAATCCAACTATGGAAATAGTTGAGACATTTTCTGTAGAGATGGGATCCAAATCCAACAAAAGTTGAATAATTGCGCTTTTATCTTCATCTCTCCCTATTATATTATCCTCGCGGACAAATGAGTGAGTGACCCTCTCTCTTCTTACAAATTCTACATCTTCGTGGGTCACTTGTAATTGAACAAAAACTTTTATCTTATGACCAATTTTCTGCCCAAAAACAAGCGGGTTTGAGCTAGAGAAGAAGCTGCGTACCTGCTTTGACACTTTATTATTTCCGGGCACCATTTGTCTCCACTGAGCTTCAGTATAAAACTCATCGAGCACGTCATCAGCTTCATAAACTGCATCTTCTACGCTTTGGAGCCACACTTTGACTTCATTATTGTTGGCTTGTTTTTGCTCAGCATCAAGAAGAACAGCTTGGAGTTGGGCAACTTTGTCCTTCAGCTTTTGGAGGTCATCTTTGACACCCCAAAGCAAGGCAATCTCTTGGAAAACAAGGGAGCCTAACCTTCCAATGATCCCTTCTGCAACGTTGAAGAGGACTCCTTCTGCCATTGGAGAAAGGAAAAGAGTATTCACTTGGAGAAAGGAAAAGAGTATTCTTGACGAAAGTTGTGGTTTGTTGATAGAGTTATTTGGTGTGGAACAGCAAGTGGAGCAAGTTGAAGAAATGTTTGACTCAAATATGCTTTCGGTGGTTTTGACATTATTTTAATGAAGGAGTCCAATTGGTTGGTGACATGTGTGATATCCGTTGGTGTTGTTCACTTTCAGAAATAAGCAATCCGTTGGTCCAGCTATCTTCTTTCATATTAATCTCTATTTTTATATTAAATTACCAATACTTTACAATATCATGTAATGTAATGGTTTTCATATCAATTATTATCTTCTATAGGCATGCCAATTTATTAATTTGTTTTTAATTTCTCTAAGCATATCAATTATTTATTTATTTATTTATTAGGCTTTTCAAGCCAGTTATGTTTTGCATAATTTTACATTATAATTAAGATATCAACTATAACATAATGTGTGCAATTAATATTTTATATAAAGAAAGATAAAAGATAATATTTTGGAGTTGGTTTTAGGTTCGACTTAAATAGACGAGAAATTAATACTTACTATGGAAAGTTTAATTTTATTGGATTAATACTGGTTAAATTTTCCAAAAAGGGAATGCTAGCTATATTTCTCATTTGATCTCATCCCATCGAAATAATTTGATAATGAAACCCACTTATCTTTGAGACTTCCTTTTTAAAATTATATCTGTAAAAAAATCAACCATATCGAAAAAAGTTTAGACATTTTATTGTTATAAAATAAATAGACGAACTTAATATTTTAAATAGACACAAGTTTGACCTTAAAAATTAACGATTTTAGCTATCGTACAAGTTATAACATACTAAAAAGATGAAAAGGAAAAGATAAGGCAGTTAATTTTTTTTTTAAAATAATAATAAAACCATCATATACAACCTATCTGAAACAAGTTCGAAATAACTAAATAATGCTACAAGATCTTTGGAAATTATGTATTATTATTACATATGGCCAATTTAACAATTATAAATTTTTATGGTATGAATTTGAAACTTGGTAGAATAATTATTACAACTTACATCTCGAGGAGAATGCGTGTCGTGTTGTAGTGGAGCCAGCTGTCACAATTAACACAAGCAAATAAAATTCAGCAGAGAGGGCCACCACGTGACTCTTTTCCTCTCCCAAACCAACAGCCTGGGTTGGTTTCTGTCCCTCCCTCCTAAAACTAGACCAATGGGGAGCGAGAGACCTACGCATTCTTCTACACAAACCCACCCAACTCCCAAAAAATAAGGGCCAAAAACACTTTTCCTCAATAATCTCAAAATGCCAGCTGGGAAACAGTACTTTTCCATGCTGGCATCACCTTCCACGTGTCAGACAATGACTCCCCAACTCCCCTGCCACATTGGCTCTCTTGTTAGGCTTTGGTAGGGCCCATGAAATTGCTTAGTCCCAGGTAGAGTAGATAGATGCCGTCATAGTTGGATTTGGGACCAAGCAATGTATAATTGTGTTAATTAATTCATTCCTCTGTTTCGCAAATGGGTTCTTTCTTGAGTGCATGTTCATAGAAAAACAAAATGAAAAATTACTTCTGTAACCAAAAATAAATATTTAAAAAAAAAAAAAAAAATTATTACTTTGCACTTACGCCAAAATGCCCAAAACCAATGTGGTTGTAGGTAGGGACTAGGGAATAGCAAATACTTAATGAAGAAATGCTTCACAATGAAATGATGCATAAAGATTAAAGAAATAGAGACAAAACTAATGTAAAACACAAAAAAGAGACCATTATATATGTATACTCATTTAAGCTAAGATCCGTTAAGTGTGGAAGTGGAACATCCCAACTAAAAATACAAAATAAAAATCTTTTAGGTTTAGCTACTGTTTCACATACGAAAGACTATTTTGTATAAGTAAAACTAAATAAACGAGTAAGTAACCAAAATTCTAAAATATGTCTTTAAATACCTTAAAATTTCTTCAAAAATTTTCCCCATCATTTCATTCCACATTTTTTACAAATTCTATCACATTCTCTACTTGTTATCAACTTTCCACACTCACAAAAATACTATCCAAAAAAGCACTGGGCTTTGGGAACACATCTTACAAAAATACACAGATGAAATTGTGAGATATTGAATCGAAAATACTTTATTTATTGACATTTGAAGATGAAGATAAGAGATGCCACGTCGACAAAAATCTAATCGGAAATCTGGATAATTACTCCAAATTCCATAAATAGCAATTGGAGAAAGGAAAAGAGTATTCTTGACGAAAGTTGATAGAGTTGTTTGGTGTGGAACAGCAAGTGGAGCAAGAGTATTAATAATTGGACAAAGGAAAGAGGAAACGTGCATCAAATCACACAGTGCCACAACAAGTCTTTCCGCATGGGTCGTTGTCTTGTGCTGCATATGCATGCCAGCTTTTTTTGTCTGTGTTGTAGCCTTTTGAAAGTGCATTCCAACTTTGTTTTGGCACCGCATGGCCAGGCCATATTTACTTTTCTGTGCCTTCACATGGCGATGGGGACGGGGTCGTCATAGTTTCTGAGAAATTGTCGGTGAGGTCCCTCCCCCTTCTCCTTCCCCACTGGTCATCGTTCGAATCCGAGGAAAAAGTTACCCCCTCCCTAATCACTGTAATTCAAAAAAGCAAAAAGAAAAAAAAAAGCCACTTTTTCTTTTACCCTCTGTTCAGGTGTAAATGATTTTATACAAGGCTTTTTTGCGTTTGAATTCATTTAGTCTGACATTCAGCACCAGAAGAAAGCCAGAAACTCTTTTATACAAGGCTTTTAAACAGTATGGCCAACAGGTATTTGCTGGCACCATTTAACCAAAGAGAGCAGCGAACCACCAACTTTTCATGTAAAACCTCTGCATTTAGCATTCATGCATTTACACACATTTAAGAGAACTCAACCAGACCTAGGAAGAGAATTTATGAAATCCAAATCTTTTTTGACATAGTACTGCAATTAAATATGCAAATTCACAAATGAAAATTAATTGGGCACAAATACTAGTACTGCATATGAAAATCTTATATGTGCCTGCCAACTACAGAACTTAAAGGTGTATGTGAGAAAAAGGGAGTGAGGGGTGGCTGCCATGGCTAGCAGTTGGGGTAGGAGGCTGGGTCAGGGATAGGATTCCTTTTTATTTTTTTTATTTCAGAGTTATTGAATAAATATAATAAGGTGCAAATGGTTAATTTTTGGTTTAATACAATTATGACGATGTGGACTTACTCTCCCTCACTCTTTCGTTTTCATCATCTCCTTTTCTAGCCAGAACAAAATCTAACTTCACCCAAAAAAACAAAAACAAAATATCAAGCCATAACCAGAATACAAAAACAAAATTTTCCATGAATCCAAATCGAATCTTTGCCTCTCAAACACTGCGAATCCGCTTGAAACTGTGAAGAAAAAGGAACTTGGTTCTCCATTTAACCATGAAAGAAAGCTTTTTGAGTATATACAGTAGGTTTTGAGAGCTGCCCTGATCATGCACCGACCTCTGTAAGTACATTGTAGTTGAACGTGCATCATCATTTCATAACATGACCTTGTTCGCATTCCTACTTTTGTTTTTTTTAAAGAAAGGTTCCATTGCTTTCAATTGCAGATTCTCTTTTTAAATGACAACCACAATACCATGTATGTCTATTTGGTTTCTGGGGAAATTTTGTTGGCGAAACGAGTGGAAGTAGAATTCTAATTTTCTTGTTATCTTTACTATTATTGTTATTTTCTGCTTCATTATCAGTGTTTGTTTTTACAGGGACGAAGAATTGCTCCTGACAAATTGGAGTATTCTTGAACTCTTACAACCTCAAATGGTAATGCTTGAAAACTCTTCAACTTGTGCGGGGTACCTAGATTAGTCAATATGCATGTTTTATAGCGTGCATAGGTGCAATTGTTAAAATTGTTAAATCAAAGCATTTACACTTTTATTATTTCGGTAGTCAAATCAAAGCTTCAAGTGCAATTGTTAAAATTGCTTATAAAGAAATTTCAATTATTTCTAGTTGGCTTGACATATTGTTCTTCTCGTTTTCTTTGCCCTGGTTATATCTCGAAGTAGGATAAATGCGCAGACCATTTACTTTATGTTTTTACAGTAAACCTTTAGTTAGTTTGAGTGGAAGATGATAAATGCAGGTCATGAAGTTTCGTGGCACAGCGCAGAATCAATTACCAGGTCCATACGGATGCAAACTGTTGATGCACTGCGCTTGGGTGAGAGAGGCAAAGCTTCCAGTCTGCTTTTGAATCTTGGCCGTGGGAATGATTCGTTAAGAGCTGATGACTTCGTCTATATTCTTAATTACTGTGCAAAGTCACCTGATCCATTGGTAACCTGAAGAACATGCAATTAGTTGAGACACACACTGTGTGTGCGTGTTTATGTGTGTGCGTTGATTTGTTTTATTAGTGTTTAATCACACCATTTAACCTATATGTTTGACATACATAGGATTGAGTTCACATGTGTGTTATCAGAGATAATGAGAGTTAGTGCATTTGAGTTGTTGATATTTGTGCCTGATTATGGTAATGTGAAGAGTGTCAAAGGAAAACCTAGCAAACTGTATATAGACACTTTCTGCGCAATGAACATGTTTATATCGGTAGGATCACATTGCCAATTTTATTTGACTTAAATAACTTTCGAAAATGCCATTGCGAAGGTAAGGATGGTATCCTACAATTTTTCTGCATGTCAATAGTTGCTTTTTATAGGTACCTAGTCTCAGAGTCTAAGTGTATTTTATTTGGCAGTTGTTTCCTTTTCATGCAGTTTGTCATGAAGACTTGGAGAATAATGGATGAAAAAGAGATTAGCCTGAATAACATATGCTCTTTGCTTATTGTACATGCTCTATGTAAAGGAGGATATTTGGAGGAAGTAGGATTCATGCTATATACTCAAAAGGTATTATCTAGCTAGCTTAGTCAGCTGATAATAGTGAAACTACCTTGTTAGGATTACTGTTGTTTACACCATAATCAATCGAGCAAATCCAGCCTCAAAGAAAAGGGAGTGAGGGGTGGCTGCCATGGCTAGCAGTTGGGGTAGGAGGCTGGGTCAGGGATAGGATTCCTTTTTATTTTTTTTATTTCAGAGTTATTGAATAAATATAATAAGGTGCAAATGGTTAATTTTTGGTTTAATACAATTATGACGATGTGGACTTACTCTCCCTCACTCTTTCGTTTTCATCATCTCCTTTTCTAGCCAGAACAAAATCTAACTTCACCCAAAAAAACAAAAACAAAATATCAAGCCATAACCAGAATACAAAAACAAAATTTTCCATGAATCCAAATCGAATCTTTGCCTCTCAAACACTGCGAATCCGCTTGAAACTGTGAAGAAAAAGGAACTTGGTTCTCCATTTAACCATGAAAGAAAGCTTTTTGAGTATATACAGTAGGTTTTGAGAGCTGCCCTGATCATGCACCGACCTCTGTAAGTACATTGTAGTTGAACGTGCATCATCATTTCATAACATGACCTTGTTCGCATTCCTACTTTTGTTTTTTTTAAAGAAAGGTTCCATTGCTTTCAATTGCAGATTCTCTTTTTAAATGACAACCACAATACCATGTATGTCTATTTGGTTTCTGGGGAAATTTTGTTGGCGAAACGAGTGGAAGTAGAATTCTAATTTTCTTGTTATCTTTACTATTATTGTTATTTTCTGCTTCATTATCAGTGTTTGTTTTTACAGGGACGAAGAATTGCTCCTGACAAATTGGAGTATTCTTGAACTCTTACAACCTCAAATGGTAATGCTTGAAAACTCTTCAACTTGTGCGGGGTACCTAGATTAGTCAATATGCATGTTTTATAGCGTGCATAGGTGCAATTGTTAAAATTGTTAAATCAAAGCATTTACACTTTTATTATTTCGGTAGTCAAATCAAAGCTTCAAGTGCAATTGTTAAAATTGCTTATAAAGAAATTTCAATTATTTCTAGTTGGCTTGACATATTGTTCTTCTCGTTTTCTTTGCCCTGGTTATATCTTGAAGTAAGATAAATGTGCAGACCATTTACTTTATGTTTTTACAGTAAACCTTTAGTTAGTTTGAGTGGAAGATGATAAATGCAGGTCATGAAGTTTCGTGGCACAGCGCAGAATCAATTACCAGGTCCATACGGATGCAAACTGTTGATGCACTGCGCTTGGGTGAGAGAGGCAAAGCTTCCAGTCTGCTTTTGAATCTTGGCCGTGGGAATGATTCGTTAAGAGCTGATGACTTCGTCTATATTCTTAATTACTGTGCAAAGTCACCTGATCCATTGGTAACCTGAAGAACATGCAATTAGTTGAGACACACACTGTGTGTGCGTGTTTATGTGTGTGCGTTGATTTGTTTTATTAGTGTTTAATCACACCATTTAACCTATATGTTTGACATACATAGGATTGAGTTCACATGTGTGTTAGCAGAGATAATGAGAGTTTAGTGCATTTGAGTTGTTGATATTTGTGCCTGATTATGGTAATGTGAAGAGTGTCAAAGGAAAACCTAGCAAACCATGTATAGACACTTTCTGTGCAATTGCCAATTTTATTTGACTTAAATAACTTGCCGAAAATGCCACTGCAAAGGTAAGGATGGCGTCCTACAATTTTTCTGCATGTCAATAGTTGCTTTTTATAGGTACCTAGTCTCAGAGTCTAAGTGTATTTTATTTGGCAGTTGTTTCCTTTTCATGCAGTTTGTCATGAAGACTTGGAGAATAATGGATGAAAAAGAGATTAGCCTGAATAACATATGCTCTTTGCTTATTGTACATGCTCTATGTAAAGGAGGATATTTGGAGGAAGTAGGATTCATGCTATATACTCAAAAGGTATTATCTAGCTAGCTTAGTCAGCTGATAATAGTGAAACTACCTTGTTAGGATTACTGTTGTTTACACCATAATCAATCGAGCAAATCCAGCCTCAAAGCGACTAGCACCAAAGGCACACACGTCTTCTTCCATGCCGAAGGAAGACAAGCTCCAGACTGCCGAAGCTCCCAAATTGCCAAACCTACTCTACAAGACACGTGTCACCACCACAGTGACTTACACAAAGTCCCACATCGGAAATCTACACAAACCTCCCACTTTCACCTCCCTATAAATAGGGAGTAGTATCCATGTGAAAAGGGGACTTCTTCTCTCCACTTAGAGGAGGATCTGGGTCTCAGAGCTAGACCCTAGGGCCGGGGACTCTCTTCTAGATCCCTGGCCTGGGCATCTCACTTGTCATCTTTATATTCGGGTCCGACCCCATGTACAAATGTAATCATACACTATTATAATGAGAACATACTTCTCCGTGAATGTAGCCCATTCATTAAGGGTGAACCACGTATATCTTGTCTTCTTTACATTTATCGCTTGCCCAAGTCTTCACACACATGCTGAAGGTCCTCACCTTCACCCATCATCCATCACACTTCATCACTAAGTTGGACTCAATCTTGGCCTAACCATTTTGAGCATCAACAGTTTGGCGCCGTCTGTGGGAATTGATACAAAAGGCTTATGTCGTTCTCCACTTCCTCAGTGCCCTTCGGCACCCATACAATCTTCATCATATAGCTTGTGCGATGCCTTAGGCACCCAGCCATCAACCGGCCCTGCTGCTCATGCCTAGCCACAATGCCTTGTCCCAATGCAAGCTTTGTGTTGCCTTCGGCACCTCTGTGTGTGTCTAGCCACATTGCCTTGCGACAAACAAGCTTTGTGTTGCCTCTGGTACCCTCGTGCCTAGTCACATCGCCTTGCGACACGCAGGCTTTGTGTTGCCTTCGGCACCCCCGTGCTTAGCCACATCGCCTTGCGACACGCAAGCTTTGTGTTGCCTTCGGCACCCCCGTGCCTAGCCACATCTTGTGTCGCCTTTGGCAGCATCATGCCTAGCCACATCGCCTTGCAACACGCAAGCTTTGTGTTGCCTTTGGCACCATCGTGCCTAGCCACATCGCTCTGTGACACGCAAGTTTTGTGTTGTACTCGGCACCCCTGTGCCTAGCCACATCGCCTTGCAACACTCAAGCCTTGCGTCGCCTTCGACACCATCGTGCCTAGCCACATTGCCTCGCGACATGCGAGCTTTGTGTCCCCTTCGGCACCCTCGTGCCTAGCCACATTGCCTTGCGACATGCGAGCTTTGTGTCCCCTCCGGCACCTTCGTGCCTAGCCACATTGTTTTGCCACATGCGAGCTTTGTGTTGCCTCCGGCACCCTCGTACCTAGGCACATCGCCTTGCGACGTGCAAGCTTTATGCCTTTGGCATTCCTTTGCCTTCGGCATCTTTGTGCCTAGCCATATCGCCTTGCGACATGCAAGTTTTATACCTTCGGCACCCTCCTGCCTAGGCACATTGCCTTGAGACATGCAAGATTTGTGCCTTCGGCATCCCTTTGCCTTCGGCACCCTCATGCCTAGCCACATTGTTCTGCGACACGCAAATTTTGTGTTAACTTCGGCACCCCGTGCCTGGCTACATTGTCTTGCGACACGCAAGCTCTGTGTTACCTTCGGCACCCCTGTGCCCAGACACATCTCGTGTTGCCTTTGGCACCCCTATGCCCAGCCCCTTACAAGAATTTGCACCTCAGGCCCGACTCCAAGGCTTGACAAAAGCCCAAGACCCAGGACAAATAGTACTACACTTTCGGAAATCCAAGATTACAAGTGCTTGACTACCAAATGGCCACTCTTACATCCATGGCCCCAGCTCCAAGAGCCCAGCCCCAAACTGCATGCAAAATCTGAGCATTTCGAATGGCAAAATCTGATGGCTCACCTCCTTCAAAACCATTCCGGCCCTGAAACTATGCCACGCTCTGAATGATCCAGCCCATTTCAACAACACAAGGCTAGGTCGAAAAACTCACGACTTTCTTGCCGAAGCTTTGAATGCTCGGCTACCAAGAGGCTTGCCAAAAGCCCAAGTATCCGCAAGGTACTAAGGCTACCCAAAAAAAAAAAAAAGAGGGTGGCCTGTCCATCATTTGTTACATTCTAATATTGCAAGGAGTGGACCACCATTGGAATCAAGGAATCCATTGGAAAAGCATGGTCCAGTTGATGAGATTCTGCCCATCGCAGTACATGAGCTAATTCGCCATTATACTAAAAAAGCCAAGTTCTCCAAAGTTGATTTATCTTTCCCAAGACAGTTGCTTTTTCTTGCTAGATATAAAGTTCCTTGGATCCTCAAATGGTCCTACAAAGTTGCCAGAGATACTACCAGAGTTCTTGCCCGCCAATTCTCAGTTAAATGGTGGGACAAATTTGAAGTTGACCGAATTGCTAAATATGTGTACAATGATCTGCCTCAAGAGCCTATTCCGCATCCAGTTTCCCCTACTGGTTCGACCCGATCTTCTCTCTCAGTCGAAGGAAAATCGAAGTCTGAACTCCAAGAAATTGCCCGCCAGTTGATCATCCAAGCTTCTCAGATGGATGATGATGAAGACAATGTTTCCCCCTCATCGTCCAGCTGTCAGCCCATGCAGAGCCCTGCCAAGAAAAAGTCTTGGTATGAAGATAGTCAAGATCCATATGATGCTTATGATTTGAATTCTGACTAAGCATCACAAGTTGCAGACACAATGATTGCCTCTAGTTGCCGACACAATAGTTGCCCCAGAATATGATTAAAGCATCTTCAAAAGCAGTCAGTTGCCCGACATTTCACCATTGAGTAAAAGTCAAAAGTTACTAAAGTAAGACATAATTGAAAGTTGAATCAGGTTGTTCTCGTGCTTCCACAGTTGCCTCTCTATTATCAGAATTGCTTTCGGTTACCCTAGTTACTTTTCAGTATGACCCTAGTTGCTTTTGCAAACCATAGTTACTTTCCTTGTATTATTTAAGCCAGCCTTGGCCTCGGTTGCAGACAGATTACAAATTACATTTCAGTTTTTTTAAAGATTCTCTCTGAACACTTTGGAGAAATCATCTTTGTAAACACTGAGTGTTTTGTATCTGGAGTTCGAAGTTGCTATTTTGAAGTTGCTTCTGTGAGTATAAATAAAATTGATATTTTCAGTTATCTCTATTTTGAGTAATTTCATATAAGCATTATTTCAATTGCATTTTCAATTGCATATACCCTAAACCCTAAACCCTAAACCCTCTTTTATACCTTGACCTATTTGTTCGTCAAATATAGGGAGACCGTCTTCATTAAGTTTTACAGCATGAATGATCAAGTTTTTAGACTCAGGGGTTAAGTGCTTATCCCACCAATACCTAAGAGTACCGGTAAATCCAGTGACTAGTAGGGGTACAATTTCAGACTGTCTGAAACTGTGATTGGTGATATAACTATTGGCAACCATGGACATGTGTTGTAGTTTATTAAAGATCTCTTGCTCAGAAAGACCATCAATGTTCCATTCATACAATTTATCAGAAGAAACCGAAAATTGTGTTTGAAAGTTTCTTTCTTCGAATTGGATATCTGGAGGTGTTGGCCTGGGGTACCAATTTTTGGTTAAACTAGTGGGGCTTATGTGTTTTTCTAATTTTTTGACTTTGGGTTCAACTTGGACTTCTAAGTTTCCGAAAGCATTTTCAATTTTTGAAATATTGCTGGTTTCAGAATCTATCGTCTCTGGCTCAGACTCAGAAGGATTTGCGAATGAGTCTAGTGTTTTAAGACCAGATTTTTCCGCTTTACTCGGGGTTAATTGTTCTAACATTTCTTCAATTTTCTTCATCGTTGGTTTGATTTTAAGCTTAGGGCTTGACTGAAGATCCTGGAACTGGATTATCGGCTTTTCAACTTTTGTTTTAGACTTAATTTCTGGGGGACCTATCTTATCAATTTTTGTCTCAATTGTATCTAACTGTTTTCCTATGACAATTAGACTTTGGTTGGTATAATTGTTTTTCTCAATTAACCTTTTACTGTCATCATTTTTTTCGTACGTTTTGAAGGGACTAGCAGGTATAGGTGTATCCCTATGATTGATGATTATGGTGTCAACTGGGGGATGACTGGCTTCAACTACCGATTTATCTATTAAATTCCATTTTTCTTTAGTTAGGGTCTTTAGCTCACTAGACATGTAACGGCTTTCAATAAAATCAAGGTAGAAAATTTCAACTTTGGCTGACCGCATATAATCTTTCCATTCATTAAAGATTTTTTGGCGGCTTTCACTATCAGGATAGGCTTGGTGATAATTATTTCTTCTATATTGATTTTCTAGGGACTTAAGATGAGAATTTAGGCGTTTCCAATTAATCTCAAACTTTCTATTAAGAGTCCTAAGTTGGTTATCAACTGCTGCAAAATTTTCAACTAAGAAGTCAGACTATGTAGGTGACTCAGGGGAAACTGACTTATCATCTTCAACTGGTGCCTTGCCATAGCAAGGTTGGTTTACCTGAGAGGATTTTCTCAGGGACTCAAGCTTGAAATCAATCATGGCTTTTTCTAACTCTAGGTCTCGTTCTAGAGTGGAGGATGAGGCAGTAAAAGAGCGTCTAGCAGGGGCATGTCTCTGGGATTGACCAGGGGTTGGTAATTGTTGCAATTGGACATTAGACTTCTTTAGAGGTTGATTATCAAATCTGATTTTTACTGTGCCGTCTAAGTACTGTTGGATGTAGTCTAAATTGTTTAGACTGCGTTGTATGGGAGTTGGCTGACTCTCGGTGACTAAGGTCCATTCTTTTGGAAGGGTGACCTCTGACCACTTAATGGTTTGAGGGACTTGGATCCGGGCATCTGGGGTATGACTTTGTATTAAAACAGTTTGGTCTTTTGGGCTTTTATTAAGGGCTTGGAAATTCATATTAGTACCTGTAACTTTGTAATAAATTCTATAAACTAAGGCTAAAAGTTGGGTTCCTGGGAGGACATTGTAACCTTCAGTCTTAATATTCAAAGTTAAAGTTCTTAATATATGGGGATCACTAAGGCTTACGGTGAAGTCTGGATAACAATCAAAATGTACAGGGCCATTACATAAACTAGACTCAACGACTCCTAGGGTGCTGTCGCTAAACTTAGTAAATCTAGCATCACGCAAACAGAGAAAGATAGAGGCTTTTAATCCTAATCTTGTTAGGGGCTTAACAGCTACTTG